CGGCTTGGAGTGAAAAGCCACAGCTGGTTCGAGTGCTTTGTGTTTGCCTTTATAAGTTATTCGGTTGGAAATTTAATGAAAGCCTTGCCGGGCCGCGAAGAAGAAGATCTCCCGCAACGCCTTCACTTTTGATTTTTCCACCAAATTGCGGCCTGCTAGCAGCTGCTGCAGTTTTGGTTGAAATCAGCATAAAAGCCTCCCTGCCCCTGGCTCCTACCTCCTCCATTTCACTCTGGGATCTCACTGTCAACACATTTCATTTGCCGCTCCGCTGGCAGGCAGACCGTTCATTTGCTCAATCGCTCGGTCAGTCAGTCAGTCAGTCTTTCAATCCAGAGCGTGGGTCCCAAGGCCTGGGGATTTTCACTTTTCATATGCCAACAAATTTTCTGTCCGCGACCCCCTGAACTTTTGCCAGAAGAAGAAGCATAGCCGCCGGCACAATGGAAAACTGATATGGGTCACACAGGTACAGGTACAGGTACAGGTACAGGTAGTGGTAGAACGTCGTCATTCCACCATTTGAATGTCCAACATGGGCTACCGTTCGAATCCTGGCCGGCAGCCCCTTGTTATCCATTCCGTTGTCGTCGTCGCCGGTTGTCAATGTTAGCTGTCAGTTTTGCGCTGCCGCCTGACAGGCCTACAAGAGCCTGCTAACTGGACACGAGATGAGCGGCGGCGGCGGTAACATCACCTACATCAGCCCGGCGACCACTAACCACCGCTGCAGAGTGTGCCAATTTCCAGCAAACGGCCACACACTCCATTAATCACGGCCAGCCGAATTGGACAATGGCCGAGAGAGCTCTCTTCACAAATCATAACCGCAGGGTTTTGCCAACGTACTGACACATTTTCGTGGCCCATTGGTAATTACGGATGGGAAGTGGCTATAAATTAACCTTAATTGAATGCATTTGACAGAGCGGCATCTCGGCTTGTGGGAGTCGGGCAATGAACTGGAGTATAGCTACAGCCTCTAATAAGCCCAATTAGAGCAGAGCTGGAGCCCTTACTTGGCCATTATCGTTAGCCCATTTCTCGGGCCCGCAGCCACTTGTCTTCGCGGGTGCTTCTGGGAGACCCTGCCTTTGTTTTCCCCACCAGAAAGTGAATCTGCCAGCCAAATGAAAACTTCACTTTCCAGAGCGAGTGCAGCGGCAGCGGCAATTGCAAATCCCCGAGAGACGCGGCTTTCTTTGTTGGCCGCGCGCACAAATTGCTTCGATTTAATAACAACCATCGTCCGGCGCCGCGCTCAACTCGATCATTTTAATTTTTACTAGGTGTTTATGGGCAGTCGTGACACCATGATGAGCTGGAACCAGCTGGAGAGCCACGGGCACAGCCTTTGACATTTGAGTCAAGTGGATTACTCGTTTTCGGGACTCGGGCTGGGTCAGCGAAAGCCAAAGCGAGGTTGGCCAATCGATCAGAGCGGCGTCCTCCTAGTCATCCTCTGTCACTTTCTTTCTGCCATCGCAGGATGGAATGTGCATTGGCAAGACCAAAGCCAGAAACATATGCTAATTCGGTTAGAAAGTAAGTGCACATGGCGCATATCTAATTGTTCGCCCTCCCCCGAGAAGAAGCTCCAAACAAGTGAAATGGCCAAACATGGCAAAGCTCCAACTGCAATTGCTAGGAAAACAAAAAACCCAAGTCACTGTGATTGCCGTTGAGTGGATGGAGAGAGAGGAGCGGCCATAAAGCACGCAAATGTGTTAGACTCGGCCGCCTTTGTTGGCCAATTGCCCATATATAAATACTCGGCCCGAATATTCAGCATAAATTTCTGCAAATCTATCTCGGTGACTTTTGTGGGCTGACCCACAAAGCGAAATTGCCTACAAGTGTGCCCGGCTTTTAAGCAAATTAGTCATGTACTATATATGACAGCTCTTCCAGGTCTCTGGTCTCTGGTCTCCGGATTCCGGAGCAGGCATATACATATGTACCTCCTAACCAGTGACCACTAGCCAGTGGCCTTTCACTACTTTTCAAACTGTCGCGCCATTGTTGCCGGTGCGGCATTGTTTGATAAAAGTGAAGATAGCACTGGGATTGAGAGAAAACATTCGGAGACACGGTGTAAACAGCATTCATATCTCCGCCTGATCTAGTTCCAGCGATCTGACAAGCTACAAATAAACAGCGGCGATCCCAATCGACGACAGGCAGCCGGAGCTGACCCATTGTCCCTGCTGCCTGACCATTCAATTGGTGGAACAGGTGGACTCACTGGGAACAATTTTTCTAGTCAAGATAAGTACCCTGCAATTGGGGGAAACTATGGGTTATACAAAATATAACAGGTTAATCTTAAATTCCCAGTAAACTTAAGTGCATTTATAATTCCCAAGTAGGAATTCAGTGATATAATTTTTAATTAATTCTTTCAAACTAGAACAAAGCTTTATAATTTCAACCATGCATTTTTAAATTTTAGTTAATTAGTAAAGCTTCCAACATACTTTTCTTATTTACATTTATATAACATAAAAATTCCTCTTTTTTAAAAACCTAAATAATTTTCCACTGTAAATGCTGGGGGTCAAGTCTTTGTGGGAATTCAAAAAAATAACACAAAGAACTTAAGACGCAAAACTTGATTTACAGTTCTTACTCTCTCAGATCTTGTTAGCTCAACAAGAATGTAAAGAAAATTGGACAAAAAATGGCCAAAAATTACATAATGATTGGACGGCAACTAAGTGAAATATCACGAATCCTCGCTTATATTATCCCCAGACCCAAGAACCCATCTCCATCCGCATCTCGCATTGGGGCAACGCTCTTCCACACGCATTTCCAGATTCCCGGCTTCTAGTTAGCGGACGATTATCGCCGCAGCGAGGCTGGCAATCATAACCGGAGTGGAGCCGAGGCTAATTAATATGTGTGCCCAGGGCATCTCACACCCAGAAACACCCCCTGGCCGGGGCGGCTCCAGAGAAATGCGAGGCGGCCAACCCATTCGAGTGGCTGGTGTGCGGCTGGGATGCGGCGTAACCGAGTGCCATATATGCTAATTAGACGTACTCGCGGCCACTTAGCAGCCGCAGATACAGATCTCGGCGGGCTAATTGCTGGTCACTGGCCACATGCATTTTGTGGGTTAACAGGTGACGTAAAGCGGAAACCTGGAGCTCAGGCTCAGAATTTCCCTATGACCGCTGGCCCGATGCCAGCTGCCACGCCCCCCAACTAGAGAGCGGTGTTTTGAAGAACAAACGAATAATTAGCATGGAGAAATGATTGCACTAATTGTGGCATGAGAAAGGCAAGACCAAGACAGGCAGAGGTGCATCAGTACACCAAGTGTGGGAAATGCAAGCGATCTTTCATTAGTTGTCTCATTAATGGGGGAGATGTACCAGCAGATGGGCTCCGGGCAAGATTTTGGCTAATTTGGGCAGGCGGCTCCATAAATTATGCAATCTGAGAGAGCGAGGCAGCGGCGGTAGAGGCAGTGCAGCCATAAGGAGCGTTTGAAGCGGAGCTCTTTGAAGCGCCGCCCAGCATTCTCACATTTGTCAACACAGTTGGCAACAGAGTTGCAGGAATTTCCAGCCGGACAACAGGGCCTTAACTTAATACCCCATTCAAATGGGGTACACAGACACTGCTCCACCTCTGGTGGAGGATTAACTTGTGATGGAAACCGGCGGGCCGGGCCGCTGACCCAGGGATGCCGCCTTGATAAATTTCTTAATTTTAGGGAATCGGTTTTACTTAATCCATGTTTGTTTATGGCCCCGACGACCAGGGAATAGAAACTTCGACTTCAACTCCAACTCGGACTGCTGCTGCTGCTCCCCGGCTTGATCTATGAGCGTGTCCACAGTTGCCACTTGCCCGACTGCCAGCACATAAATTCCCTTGGCAGCAGCGCCAATCGTTCATCGATTCACCACAGCACCGCAGCAGCTGGCGAGGATCGGAGGTGGAAGTGGAAATGGAGCCACGGAGCATCGATCGCCAAGTTCATTTGCACACCAAGCTGGCAATTTCACAGATTTATCATCGTTTTATTTTTATCGTGCGGCAGAAAAAAGAGGAGAAAAGCAAATTTATTAATATGCCAAGTGCGAGCTTGGCACTAAAAATATAGAGAAACCTGTTCCAAGGCCAGATACTAAGGCATCACCTGGCAGAAGACGGATGCGGAGGAAGAGAGGCGTTTACGCACATTGCCGTTAGCCCAATTCACTTTTAACTTGGGCGGATTTAAGGCGACACCGGAGAGGCCTGCCTAATTGGATAGATCAGAGATCTGGCGGGGACCCGGATAAGTTGTTGACTTATCGCGTGCCGCGGAGCCATCGCCATCAGTTTGCACTCGCGAGTGGTTTAGGAGGAGCCAGAGCCTGGGTCTGGGTATGGGACTTGGGCCTGGGCAAATAAATTGCCAGCTGCCGGAGGCGGAGATCTTCTTGGCATGCAAATGGCGATCAAGATCGCGATGTTTGCGTGGCCTGTTATGAGTCAATCAGACGCCTGCCTACATTGTCACCATCACTTGGCTCGGATAGGATCGCGGGATGTCTGCTCCGCTGGTTTGCTGGCTGCCTGCAGCTCCGATGGAAGATGGCTAGATGGGCGCTGGAGATTGTCGCGATTGCATCATAAAATTTAACTGCCCCGCCAGCCAATTCCAGTGGTCCCGACCAGCAGCTCCAAGCCAAGTCAAAGTCATTGCATAAATTGGCAGCAGGAGCTGCGTCCGCATCTGCATCTATTGCATCTATCGATGTCGCGGCAGCTCCAGTGGCTGCTGATGGGGCTTATAAGGCGCCGCTTAGGCAAAAAGGGGCAACGCCAAATGCCAGTGCCACCGCCTCCTACCTCCCAGCTTCTAGCACAGCTGCTGCTCCCTGCTCCATTCAGCTGTCCACTTGGCCGAGATGTTTATGAGTTGACGAGGACAGGGAGCCAGCCCTACCGGTGGGTCCTTCTCTCATAATTCCCCCATACCCAGGAACACACTCTACATATGCGATCTCAGGATCGTTTAATAAGCGGAAGAAGAAGAAGAAGCTTACATAAAAGGAGCCGCCGAGGTCACTTCCCCTGCAGCTTCGTGGGTTGCCAGAGTTCCATGTCCGCGGAGACCTTTTTCACCAGCGAAGTGATCTCTTTGAAGGCCTTGTGCTCCTTGTCGCCCAGCAGGTTGAAAATCACGCTCTCCGAGCTGGCAATGGTGCAGCCAATGTGACGCAGTCGCTCCAGGGCCAAATCTCGATCCTGGTTGAGACGCGAGGCGCAGCAGTCGGCCACCAGCCAGACGTCTATCTGCTCGTTTATCAGGTCAAAGGCGGTCTGTTCCACGCAGACATGGGTCTGGGAAAAGGAAATTTAATATAAATATTAAGACCCTTTTCCTAATGTATCCCTTAATCTTAACCTAAAAGGACGACCCACCTCCACGCCAAAGAGCACTGCTGTCTTGGGCTTGCCACCGTAGATATCAGCCATGCTCTTCTGGATGGGATCCACCAGCATGGAGAACTTGGTCTTCGGCACATTGGCACAGGCATGTCCAATGTCCAGCTCGCAGACGGTCTTGCCCAACTTCTCGGGATACTGCTCGGTGACCAGGAGGGGCACTCCCAAGGCCTTGCCAGCCGCCAGCTGGAATGCGAATGCATTAGAACCCGGCCATTATCCTGTCACTTTTGCTGTCTCACCAGCTTGGCAGTGTTCTCGATGAGCGCACCCAGCAGCGGTATCGCCGGTTTGAACTTCTCCTGCACGTCGCACAACATGAAGACGGTCTTCTCCGGCACCAGGCGGTACAGAGTAGATCCTAAGGCCTTAGCCATGATTGTTTCTACGAATTTTGCATTAAAAAAGGTGAAGTATTTGTAATATACAATTTTTATGTGCTTGCTTAGTTTAAATTTTGCGCGTAAGCACTAGTGACCTCTGGCGGAGGCTACAGGTACTTGTGAGTAATTTATAACAATTTTAACTAAATCATTCAATGAAGAATTAGGAGAAACTTTTTGTTGTTGTATATATATTATAGAATTATTGTTGTTAAAAAATTCAAGTTAGCTTTTAAAACATTTTAAATTAATTTTTAACGCTTCGAATTTTGCAATAAGCTGGCGACCTCTGTCGGGATTCAGAGATACCTATTTCGCTCGGTAACCAGTGTGACCAAAGAAATTAAGGAATAGGGTAATACTCAACAGCTGTTTGTAAACAAATTAAAATCAAGATGAATTCAAAAGGATTGGATTTTGGAGTGTTGTTTATCTATTACGCCGCTATGGAGCTAAAGAAATAAAAAGAAAACTCGCCGCCAAAGGCCCAGACGAACAGCAACAATGTTGGGGAGTCGGATGCGAGCCCCCCGCCAGCTAAGGTTCCACTTGAAGTTGCCCACCCGGCGGTTGCCCAACGCTCGCCAAAGTGCTGGTCTGTGGCATGGGCCATAGCGGCCAGCTTGGGCTCAGCCCGTTGGAGGACATACCGGATCCCGTGGATATCTGTGCCGGCGGTGTGCAACCTGGTGCTGACCAACTACGGGGCTGCAACGATGAAGGCACTCTGGGTCGCGACACCAGCGAGTCAAGGCCGGAGCTGCGCATTTCGGCGGCAAACTCACACTCTGCGTGTATCCTGGAGGACGGACGGGTCTTCGCTTGGGGCGCTTTCCCCGGCTCCCACGGCAACATTGGCCTCACCATCGATGGTAGCAAGCAAATGCCCTTCCATCTGCTGGATGGTCAATTCTGCAACAGCATTGCCTCGGGCTCCAATCACTTGGTGATCCTAACCATCTCGGAGCGCTCAGAAATTCTTAAAATTGGTCTCTCATATCGCTCATAATCCTGAACGCTAGTAACTTTGATTGCTGGGTAAAACAATCGCCAGCGAACAGCTGTTTACTGCCATCTCTAAGAAGCGCGCCGCCGGCAGAAAAGTTAATTCGACATTGCAATTTGCGCGTTTCTATTCAGTTTCGGCTATTAATAAACAACGGGGAGCTTTTCCCCTTAAAACTACTAAATAATTCATGACGGCAGCAGACACGTGCCACGTTGTTTTGGCGCCACAGCCGGCTTACCTGTCACTGGAGCGAAAGCGGGAGAGATAGAGTTGGAATAAGCCAAAGTCAAGGAATTTATTAATTTTTTAAGGAACTCACTATCATCCAACACAACAGGTGAGTATTTGTGGTGTTTAAAGAGGATGTAACCCCACAAGGTGTTTCATAATCAACTCACCTGTGTTCGCGAGAGTGTGGCGGGTGAGGTTATTTCACGGCAACCACCAGTTGCTGCCACAAAACGGAACCAGCGCACTAATGAGGAGGACGGGGCTACCTAATGGCCTACTGTCCCCCATCCTCGGTCCACCGGGGCCCCGCAACCGCCACTCTGTTGGCACAGGACCAAGCAAAAGTTCCTGTCACGGCGCGGTTCGCAACTAATTGCAGCCGCATAAATTAATGCTCGCTCAAAATTGCCTAATAACCAGCGGCGACAGATAAGCAGCACGATTAATTATTACGCGCCCCCGATTCCCCCGATTCGCCTTACAAATGTCAACAAGCCAAGTCGACGTCAGCAGCGACAGCGGGCAGAAGCCTTTATCAGTCGGGGAAGAGCAGCGGCGGCGACGACGACAATGACGCGGCAGAGGAGCAGCAGCGCCGGCCAATGTGTCAACTTGAATTGATCGTCGATGTCGATGTGGATGAGGATGGGGAGACCGTAGCCCTCTGTACACTGTACACTGAAAACAATTGCGGAATTACTTAGAAATCTTGGTGTTTATAAAGAACGAGTCCTTGTTGGTCCATGTTTACTTCAAGATACATAAAAGCAAGCTTAGATACTTTTAAAAATTGAGATATCAAGGACCTTTAAAGACTAGAAATACTGCTTTGGATAATATAATATTATGAGCTAAAGTTCAAGTTTATTTAGGAAAATCTTACTTAAAAGTGCTCCCTCCTTCCTTTTGAGCTTAAGAAAAAACCTGTTACAAACCCTTTAAATATGTGACCCGAAAATATAATAGTCTTCAAGGCTCACCTATTCCATGACCGGAACCCTCATTTTTTCCTCTTTTAAACCCAAGTTAGAACAGAATTTCCTCTTGGAAAACTTGTAATTTCAAAGGTAGAACCACATTTTTATCCGTGTACCGCCTCCTCTTCCGGTGCTTCTGCTGCTCTCACCGCTTTCGCTCTCAATGCTCGCCACGCTCGGCGGCCACAAACTCTTTCGAGGCCCCTAAAGCAAGACGGCGTCGCGCGTTTAGTTGCTCAGTGATCCGTTCGCCTGGCGGACGTCGCCAGAAAAAGCGTTGAAAGCTACGAAATCATTTCGATTAATAACTGATAAATTGCCAGCGATTCGCGCGGGCTGTGCTTCATTGACAGCCGAAAGAGTGGGTTGTCCTCCGCCGCCTCCTTCTCCATTACGTCACGCTTTAATCAAATTTCTTTCATATTCCAGTCAGACAAGTATCAGCCAGAGAGATGAGCCTGCAGTCTATCAAATACTCGCGTGGCAGCCTGGAGATCCTCGACCAGCTGCTGCTGCCCGTCCAGTCCAAGTATGTGGCTGTGCGCGGTGTGGAGGACGGCTGGAAGGTCATAAACAAGATGCAGGTGAGTGCGGGATACCACTATTAGAAACATTCCGGCAGAGGCCATTAAAATTCTTATTGGTACACACTGCTTAATCTGTGCAATGATCGCTCAACGCTTGTCGTTTGTCGTCTGTCGCTTGCGCGTCTATAAATAACATAATTGAAATTAAAAATTTGTTAAAAACGCTTGCCAAAAATAAAACCACTCCTCCTCGGACGTCACTCGTCGAGGGGCTCTTACTGGGCTAATGCCCCCAGATGCTCCATTGGTCGGAGAGCACGCGGCTTATCACGTGAACCGCCCGGCATTATACAATGTAAACTGTTTACTTGGTACCTTCACCTGATAAGCCACCTAATCTGCTTGCTCCCAGTGAGGAATAATATCATAACAATTACTCTAATGGGCTTTATCTTATTATAGAACACGACATTTCAAAACTAAACATTAAATAAATAAAGAAATCTTTCACAATCCTAATGCGATTCCAATTCTGGCGACCACACAGATCTTTTAAGCGTAAAGATTGTTCCTATAATTGTGTTGTGGCAGGCCAGATTAACATGTGTTTCACAAAATAATCTACATCATTTTGCCTTGTCACCGAAATACCTAAAGATCTTTCGCTTTAATTGGCTTTCAAATTGCTTGTATTTCTTGAGATTATAAGTTATTTTGAAATAATTTCGTTTATTGGTTTTTAAATCTTTTATTGAGTTGGAAAATATTTTAATACTATGTCAAATCTTTTTCCTTTTAAATTTCATAGAAGAATGATTGATTTATTTCCCTTTTCCCCCAGGTCCGTGGTGCCCCCGCCATAGCCATTGTGGGCTGCCTGTCCCTGGCCGTGGAAATCCATCCCGAGGAGTTTGGCAGCAAGAAGTCGCTGCGCCAGGAGGTCGAAGGCAAGCTCAACTACCTGGTTTCGGCCCGTCCCACGGCTGTCAACATGAAAATCGCCGCCGATGAACTGCTTGTCCTGGCCAATGACCTCACCAAGGATGAGACCATCGACGTGGGCGAAATGAAGCAAAGGTAACACACACACACACACACACTCCAACCAAGACGGTGCCGCCAACTCTTCCAATGTTCCCATTCAAGATTCCTGAGTGCCACCGAAGCGATGCTAAAGAAAGACATTGCGGATAACCGGGCCATTGGAGCGCATGGCGCCAAGGCGATTCTACAACGCGTGGCGGAGACCTCTGGCGCTCCAGCGGGTGCGGGAGTGCGTGTGCTCACCCACTGCAACACGGGTTCTTTGGCTACAGCTGGATATGGGACAGCACTGGGCGTAGTTCGTCAGTTGGCGGAGCTGGGAAAGCTGGGTGAGTACTTTGATAGGAGGAATCTGGATGAGATTTGCCTTATTGAACCTTTGAATACCTTATTTATAATTAATTTCTTAATTTTTAGAGCATGTCTACTGCACAGAGACGCGTCCCTATAACCAGGGAGCCCGCCTGACAGCCTATGAGCTGGTGCACGAGAAGTTCCCTGCCACCCTGGTGCTGGATAGCATGGTGGCTGCCCTCTTGAGGGCAAAGAATGTGGCTGCAGTTGTCGTGGGAGCTGATCGGGTAAGTAACTTTAACCAAAGATTATTAGAATAGTGTATTTTATGGGGTTAATAATCTTTCGAAAGAGTTTATTTTAAATATAATGTTATTTGGCAAACAGAACAAGCTTACTTATCATATTTCTGCAGGCAATTCCTATTTATAATCTTTTAATCGTTCCAAAAATAATTATTCCTATAAATAATCCAGTTTTATGGCGAATCAATTGGCTTATATTCTTCCAAAATGTAGAATTTATTTGTATAAATCGGTATTAATTGTGTATCCTTTATTTTTCTAGGTGGCCGCTAATGGCGACACGGCCAACAAGATTGGCACCTACCAGATCGCCGTGGTTGCCAAGCATCACGATGTGCCCTTCTATGTGGCCGCTCCCCTGACCTCCATCGACTTGGCCATACCCGGTGGCGACCACATCATCATCGAGGAGCGGCCCGATCGGGAGATGACGCACGTGGGTGAGCATCGCATCGCCGCACCGGGCATCAACTGCTGGAACCCCGCCTTCGATGTGACACCCGCCGCCCTGATCACCGGCATCATCACAGAACGGGGCGTGTTCAAGCCCGCGGAACTGAAAGAGGCGATCAACAAGCTGCTCGACTCATAACAGGCGCACAGAAATTGTTGTTTACGAATGCACTCCATACCCCCAGAAAAAAAAAAACCTAAACAGAAACAAGAGCACACTCGCGCGCTCGGAATAGGCATTTTGCCAGCTGAGTTTTGTATACAAACGCCTGACGCCTGCCTAGCAGATGTGGGTCGGCCGCTGGGAAAATACAACGCACAATATACCTCCTACATATGTAGCCCCATTATCGCCCATTTGTTCCCTTTTCGGGGGCATTGTTTCCGCCGGCTTTAAAGCAGCTTGGCCGTGGGACCTGGCCAGAAAGTTCCAGGAGCGCCATGGAATCACAACGCCTGCTGACGATCGTACTGCTCGAGCTGCTGCTGGTACTGGGCCAGTCCTGGGCAAACAATAACCGCCTCAACTTGCACAACAACTACAGGAACATGTTGGTGCGCTTGAACACCAATAAAGTCGCACTTGGCGGGGTCCAAGAACTGCGCGAAGGCCTGGTGGAGGTGAGCTTCGATTACGGCGCCACCTGGGGCACCATCTGCAGCACCTCGTGGAGCATGCGGGAGGGCAATGTAGTGTGCCGTCAGCTGGGTCTGGGCTATGCCTCCAAGGCCACTCTGAGCACGGAGCATGGGGACAACAAGAAACATCCTTGGGCCATGGTGGGAACCCTTTGCCGGGGCACTGAGTCTCGCCTGGCCGATTGCTCAAGGGAAACCATCTACCCGAGCCTCTGTAATGTCCAAAATCGCAATGTCAGCGTGGTGACCTGCGTTAGCCACTCGGCGGATCTCGAGATTGGACTGGCGGATATTGAAAAGAGCGCCCGTCTGGAGGCAGTGCCCATGTCACGGCTCACTTGCGCCATGGAGGAGCACTGTGTGTCCGCCGATGCGTATGAGATCCGCAGGACGCAGCCGAATGCCGCCAGGCTCTTGCTGCGCTTCTCCGTAAAGGCCTCCAATGTGGGCACTGCCGATGTGAGTCCCTATGCCAACTACAAGGACTGGGTGTGGCATCAGTGTCACAGGCACTACCACAGCATGAACGTATTTGCTACCTTCGATGTCTACGATCTCAAATACAGAAAGGTGGCCCAGGGACACAAGGCCTCCTTCTGCCTAATGGACACCGATTGTCAGCCAGGTGTCCGCGCCAAGTACACCTGCGGGAACACCACTCAGGGTAAGTGGATGAAGAGGTTTTGCTTTTATCCCAAACTATAATCATTTCTCTGGCAGGCATCTCTGTGGGCTGTGCTGACACCTACACTCATGTCCTGGACTGCCAGTGGGTGGATGTGACCCGGGTGCCAGTCAATCGCCGCTACATCCTTCGAGTGGCCCTTAATCCGGAGTACAGGCTGGGTGAGATCTCTTTCGAGAATAATGGAGCCGAATGCCTGCTCGATTATACGGGCGTGAGCAGTACGACCAGGATCTACAACTGTAAGCGTTCGCCTTTGTGGTTTAGAAAATGATTTTGTTTAGGTTTTAAGATAGTTCTAGGCGGTGGTGGTGAATATATATGTTGGTTATGGCATACTTTTGGGGGGTTTATCTTTGCAATTCGTGGAGGAATAACTATAAATCGAAAGGCATGGGGAAATAGTGTTGATCCATAAATCAGGAACAGAATTTTATTTGAATTGTATTCTTTTTTTATTGTAAAAGCAAGAACCAGGAAATATCTAAATAATTATACCATAGTTAAACCCAAAGAAAATACCTTGATTGTAGTTAAATACGTTTATTGTTTCTGAATGTTCATCTCTTGACTTTTTGTATTCTTGTATCATTTCGCTTACAGAATAGATTTATTTATGTGTATGTATGTTTATCTGGTATTCATGATGCTCTATAAATATGCCTTTAATTGCTAAAGATAAATATTTCGGCGCTTGCTCGGTTTGGTTTTACTTTACTGTGGCTGCAGTGCTAAATGGGTTCTCGTCTGCTTTGTGCTGGTAGTATGTAGTAGTAGTAGTAGTTGTTGTTGTTGTTTTTGTTCAATCTCTATGCCTTACAATTTGCTAGTTGTGCCTAAAATCAAATGAATTGAAACTAAAACTTGCCCTGGGCAATGGGCACTCCCACAACTGCCACCAATTTCAATAATTATAATAATTAATCTTCAATATTAACATAATAAATTCTCCAATTGGTTTCATTTGTTTTCATGTTTCTCTTTCTTTGCTTTGCTAATTACAAAATGCCTACGCTACGTTTACACAAAACTTAGACACTAGCCGACATCGATATCTCAATGGATTAGCATTAGTTAGCGTAACTTGTTGTTGTTAAATTTATTGCATGACAAAACAAATATCGGTAATATCTTCCAACTTAAACTTAGACAACAGAAAAGACTCTAAGAACAATATATAGATGAGAAGCTTAGCAAAAGTGTGCGGCAATAAAAATTAAAAGTCGTTTATAAATAATTATATAGGTTTTTAAAATGTACAATCCACATACACATGTCATGTGTATGTCCGTATCTATGCTTGTGGATATAGTAGCATGTGTTAAGTATTTGTTAAAAATGCATTCAAGTTTTCGAGTATTCATGTCACTTGCTTAACTTACAAAGGCCAACCGGAACGAGCCTTTTCCAAGGCTGTTCCCGTTGAGCACAAACTACTTTACAAAAATTACACATTATTCTGCTGGCGATGCCTCTACTTTGCTTCTCCTTCCGCATCCGCTGCTTCTGCTGCTCCTTCTTGATGGTAATGCATGTTTTAGATGATCAATTTTAGATATTTAAATAGCTCACGTATTTTAAGTAACATTATCTTTTTGGGGTGCTGTGACAAAAGTTCGCCTTTGCGCTGCAAGTGCTATTAGCTCTCAAAGTCGTTTAGTGAGTGGTTAATATCGAAACCACATTCTCAATTAAGTAACGCTCTAATGTGTGCTTGCTTTCTGTGTGGAGAGTCTTTTGGAAACATTTATAAATATTTTGTATTTTGTATTTTGTGTTTGTAGTGTACGTAGTTCATCGAAATCAGCTCGCAATTTCATTAGAAAAGTTGATGTAAAAATACAATTTCAAAAATGCTTTTTGCGCTTCAAACTGAGTTTTGGGTTTGTAATTGCGTTTAGGTTGTGCTACGCTGTCCTTCGGCTGAATACCCCCTTTAAGGGGTAACTAAGCGCAATTTGTGCTATGTGTCGACGACGACGACAACATCTTCGTCTTCGTCCTCGTCCTCTCCAGGCTCCTCCGTCCTCCGCTTAGCGGCTTCCTCGACTAATCTATGCTATCAGCTCTCGACCGTCGTGGAGGACACGCTGTGACTAGTGGTTAACAGATGCTCGGGAATGGGTATGGGCTGTGTGCGAGCAGGCTGCTTCTTCTGTAATTTACGAGGTTTTAAAAGGGAATCAACACTATAAGCTTGGGTTAATAACTCACCTTCCTTCGGAAGGGGAAACAACCCGCCTTGTCCGGTTCGGGCGTTGCATTGATCTGCAAGTCTGGCGTGGGGCACTCCTCCGGTCCGAACACGTTCAGCTCCCGAAAGCACTCGGTTTCCATCATTTCGTTCTGCCACGAAATGGACACGGAGCCAGTGTTGAATTTCGTGTAGAAATTCGTGTCCGAGTCATCGATATTGACGCCCTTCACCGTCGAGAACTGTTCAATATCGAGCACATCTTTGGCGTAAACGGCATGCGGCTGTGGATGATGATGGAAAATTGATTTAAGTCGGTGATTCAAGCCAATATCGGGCGCGCATATGCAAATGAGTCAACAACTCACGTCTGGCACAAAGGGCGGCTCCAGCATGCCAGCCTCCAGCCGGCGCCAGTTGAGCTGGGTGGAGTGGAAAAACGGGTGGGCCATCACGTCCTGGGCCCCCATGCGTCCGTTGCGGCAGCCCAAGCGCTGCTTTATCGATTTAGCTAACAGCTGTTGGCACATTGATTTGGCTTCATCATTAAACTTGCTCGAATACTTTTCGGGATCCTCCTGTGAACGGTATAAATTAGAAATTAATATAAATGCATAATGTAAGGAGCCGGAAGGATATTGATCTGCCTTTAATATGGCAATAATTCAGGGGAACCTTAGTACAGTAAAATTAAAATTTTTGCCTTTTTTTTAAATTAGACTTTTTTGCAATCGGTGACTTTTTAGGGACTTAATGCCCTCAAGAAAACCAGAAATATATTCCTGGACTAGACTGAATTTTACCAACCTTAACGCGTCTATCCACCTCCTCCCGCTTGACCTTCTCCTTGCGCATCCGGAACGGCGCCTGGCCCTCGATCATTTCGTACAGCAGGCAGCCAAAGCTAAACCAATCCGGCGAAAAGGCGTACTTTTCATTGTCGATGACCTCGGGTGCCATGTAGCCTAGTTTAGTGGAACACAAAATAAACCCAGCTTAGCTAGGCTGCTTGGCTTCATTAAATTCCAATACTCACCCACTGTGCCCACACGGCCGCGGACCATATCGCCCTCTGGTATCTCCACGGCCAGGCCCAGGTCGGAGATGCGTACGTGGCCATGATCGTCCAGAAGGATATTCTCCGGCTTGCAGTCCCGGTAAACGATGCCCTGCTTGTGGAGATGCTGCAGGCCGCAGGCCACCTCGGCGGCATAGAAGCGGGCACGCTCCAGTTCGAATCCCGGGTCGCCGCCCATGTTGTAAATGTGGAATTTCAAATCGCCGCCTGCAAGGGAAGAGAACGAGAACATTTGATTGTCTTCCTCAGACAATGACAGGTCCCAGTGCCTTTTATTGGTACAATGCCTGGGCCCGGCTTTTGTGCACAAATTCAATTAGGTTGTCGATTGACGGATTTACGGACGGACAGGACAGGACAGCTGCCGGGATGACTTCTCCGACAGGAAGACAACAGAGAGAGGCATTGTGCCAGCAGCTTGAATGAGCAGAATTTAATTAAAATTGCAAACTCAATCATGGCATGGATTACACATGCATTTGTTATCGTTTTATTGAATGCATGCGAATGCCGGACTCTCGGATAATTGGCACCGAAGGACACTCCTCCGGACGTAGAATGGGAATGTGAAAGTAACTGGATTAACAGATAAAAAGACTCGGCACTTAATTAACCCTAACTGGCCAACCATCGACACCTGGCTACATGGTGAAAAGCAGCAACGTGGAATGTGGAATAACTGGATAATACCCACCATTCATTATGGTCAGGACCAGGCAGAGGGCATCCTTCGTCTCGTACGCGTAGGCCAGATTAACCACGAACGGGGAGTTGATTTTCTGCAGTATCTGCTTCTCGATTAACACCATCGACTCGCCCTTGCGCTTCTTGATGCGTTTTTTCTCCAGCTTTTTGCACGCGTACATTTTCCCAGTGGCCCGGACCTGCAACAAAGAGACAGCCCGAGGGGGGCGGGGGTATGAAAACGAGGTCAGACGCCCACAGGTGGTGATTTTCCGGCTTACCTGACAGGCGCACACCTCCCCGAAGCCGCCCTTGCCCAGCACCCGGTACATGCGAAACGTTTTATAGGTGATTGGCTGCGCCTCCAGCCACTTCCACTGCAAGTATCTGGTGGGGAAAACAGGAAAAACAAGGAAATTTATAAAGGAAACATGGGAAAATGTTTTGTCAACGTTTAAAGAAACAATACTTGACTACTTTCGTAATATATACGACTGAAACTAAGCTTTAAACAATGTTAACCTTTCTTCTAAAGTTATCCTTAAGGTTATATCTACGCACCTGTGAAAATACATTGAGTTCTCAAACTCCCGGAACGGCTCGCCGGCCAGAAAAGCCTTCACCGCGGTCACGCACTGGCCAAAGATGTCCTTGCCGCCGCTGTTGAGTTTATTACGCACTTGCGCAATGAGATCATCGTTGAGCACGTCCAGCACGAGTTCGTCGGCAGATCCCCCGGCAGTTGTGCCATTCCCAGCACCACCTCCTCCGCCACCATCTACTCCGCCGCCGCCGCCCTCACCACCACCCTTTTCCGCTCCATTGTCATCGTGGCTGTCCAGGCACTCAACACCCTCATCTCCGTCGTCGTTGCTCCCGTTCCCGGTGGCATCGTCGCCGTTGTGATTGCGTGTGTCCAGCTTCTTGTGATTGATGTTGCTGCTGTGCGAGTTGTTGGTGTTGCTGTTGCTGTTGTTGATGTTGTTGCAGTTGTTGGCGGTGGTATTGTTGCAGTGTTCAGTCTCAGCTGTTTCAGTTGGATTGGCATTGCTGCTGTTGAGCAGCAGCTCCTCCTGCGTCTCGGCATCGAGGGCATCCCCACCGCTGCCATTGCGCAGCTCTGGCTGGGGCTCCACATCCAGGAAGCGGCGCCCGATGTCATGGCCAATGAATATGCGGTTCACGATGTACTCGATTTCGTATCTGCCAAGCGGAAAGGAGTAGGATTAGTGAGAAGTTGATTTTTAGATTAACAGTAGTAACTTACTTGACCACCTGATCTAGGAAGGAGATGTAGCGAAAGTAGACAGGCCGCTTGTTCTCGCAAAACAAGCGAAAGAGCTCACGACCAATGGGTTGTTGATCTATCACGTAGCCATAGCTTATATCTAAGGAAATTACAAAATAAATAGGAATTATTAACCCTAGACGGTCATGCTTCGTCGATTCGACGACGCAAAATCACAAAAGATCGAAAAATGGAAAAAAGGTCGTTTTTTATTTTTAGTTTTTAAGTATATTCTTAATATGAAAATGAATTATTATTTCTAATTTTGAACAGTTAAAATGT